ATTATCACATCATGTATTAATACATTTAAGTGAAAGTAAAATTATAAAGCTCAGTATTGTATAAAATGTATTTATCTTTTAAACAATGGATCAATTATAAAAAGAACAATCATGAAAAGTGCATTTTATTACTGTGTGTGTCATTATTGACACATTTTAATCAACATGTAAGTGTGCCGGGCAATGTGCTAGTCGATGATCTTTCCATCTTTCTAAAAAAAACATAAAGATGCTCATTTAAAAAAAAAGGTAAATAATAACACATAAATGCCAAGTGGATTCTATAGTTATTAAATTCTACAGAAATTCAGGGAATGGATTGGGATAATTTAGTCATGTATTACCTGGGAGGCATGACTTAGTTTGGACCTTGACAAAATGATAGATTTAAAAAGTTGTGAGGATATTAGGAAGTTGAGCAAAGGAACCAGGAATATAAAAAATGTGTATGAGGAACACAATGGAACCATCTCATTAGGAATAAAAATTTAGCGGGGAAGCAAAGAGATAAGATCAAGTATAGTTGTAAAGGGCCTTAAAGAGGAGAATAAAAAGTCTACATTTGAATTGCAGAAATATTTGAAGAGTAAGCATTAACCTGAAGAAATTTATATGAATCTGGTGGTTATTTAAAAATAGACGATAAAGGGACAGGCTGAATGGACACTAGTAGGAGGCTTAATTATGCTGACAGCAAAGGCCTGAACTGAAAGAAGTTGTGGTAGGAAAATATGGAAAGGAAAACGTTTTAAAAAGGTTTGTGAAGAAGAATTCACAGAATTTGCTAAACAGGAACAGGACCAAGAACCAAGAGAGAAAAAATGGTTATTACATTTTAAATGTAGCTGACATCTATATTACTGAGACATTTAATAATTAACATACATATTTTAGAACGTGTATAAGGTATGCACCTGATCAAAGAAATGCTCTACTTAATAATATAGTGGTAACACAGAGCCTCAGAACACCAACCTCACCGATTCTCAACCTGGAATGCGGGTATGAGAACTGCTGCCCCGAGTAACTGCCCACCAAAATCCCCCTCTCCCCGTGAGAACCACTGCGCGTAGTGAGAAATGTTGCTGCTGGGAACACGTCCGTCACACATGCAAACCTTCTGGAGGCACAACGCTGACTTAGGTGGCATTCACTTATATTCAGTAAGGCTTTTGGTGGCCTAATACTTGGTAAAAATTAGAGCAACACAAATAATCAAAACCAAAAATACAACACAAAACAGATGGATTTAAATTGAGCCTCGAGGCTGGGTGTGGTGACTCACACCTGTAATCCAAGCACTTTGGAAGGCCAAAGCGGTAGGATCACCTGAGGCCAGGAGTTTGAGATCAGCCTGGGCAACACAGGGAGATCCCATCTCTACAATAAAATTAAAATAAAATAATTTGAGCCTTGAAGGACAGGTAAGACATGGATCCACTAGCCAGTTCTAACACTTCTCAACTGTTCTAAAGTTTTTCATTTGTTTCAAAATTTGCATCATCTACAGCTGCAGTCCTCAGCCCGCCCCCCCGAACAGCTTGTTAGGGGCTCACACGGCAGCAGGCGAGCAGTCGAAACTTCATTTGTATTCAGAGCCCAGCCCCTCTCCACCAGCACATCACCGCCTGAGCTACACCTTCTGCTCCACACCCGTCAGTGGTGCCAAAAAGGTTGGGGACCACCGATCTAAGGAATGAAAACTACTCTCCTGACTTCTTACGGATACTCAGAAATACTTACAAAGCACTCTGCAGCATCATCCATGAGGCCGAGCTGAAATCGCTGCTCATCTTTGAAGCTTTCTGCAAGAGCATGCCTTATGTTATCCGAGGGAAGTGCTTTTTCCTGACTATGTTGAAACTGTGCAAATATTGTCTGGGGATCAACAAGGATGTCAGTAAGTTTAGTGCCAACAACTTTAAAAACATTTCAATAATTTCACTATAACATAGAGATACTCAGAAATTAATACAAAACAATTTTTGGCCTGAAATTCCATATGGAAATTGATTATTCATATTAAGCGTAGAAATGTCTGAAGCAGCCTCCAAATCAAATGTTAGCAAGCATAAAATTTAAACGTGTACAGTTCTCAGGTCCCACCCTCAGAGATTCTAACCACATAAGCCTGAGGTGAGGCCCATTTTTAAACTGTTCCCCCAGATGATTCTGATGCGG